GGAAAAGATCATCAAGCAACAGATCTGCGAACACCTAGAAGCAAGCAAAATTATAACCAGAAACCAACATGTGTTTGTCAAAAACAGACCTTGCCAAACAAACTTTATTTCATTGTTTGGCAAAGTGACTAAATTAGTGGACCAGAGAAATGCTGTGGACATTCAGTAAGGTATTTGACAAAGTAGACCAGAATCTACTTCTTGGTAAATTAGAAAAATGTAGGATAGACAGCATCACCACCAGATGGATTTGTAACTGGCTGACCAATCACACTCAACATGTAGTCCTCAGTGGAACTACATCTACATGGAGGGAAGTAAACAATGAGGTACTGCAAGGTTCTATCTTAGGTCCAACACTTTTCAACATCTTCATAAATGATTTAGATGAGGGGATAGAAAGGGAACTCATCAAATTTGCAGATGACACCAAAGTGGCAGGAATAACCAACATCCCAGAAGGTAGGCTCAAAATGCAAAAGGATTTTGATAGACTTGTATACTGGGCCCTATCTAACAAAATGAAATTTAATGGTGAGAAAAGTAAGGTTTTACATTTAGGCAATAAAAATCAAATGCACAGGTATAGAATAGGTGGCACTTAGCTTAATAGCAGCAACTATGAGGGATCTAGGAGTCCTAGTGGACAACCACTTAAATATGAGCCAGCACTGTGCTGCATCCACCAAGAAAGTCAATGCAATCCTACATTGCATTAACAGAAGATAGAATCAAAATCACATGAAGTGCTAGTGCCACTCTATAATGCTTTGATAAGATCACACTTGGAATATTGCAACAGTTTTGATTGCCACAATATAAAAAAGATGTTGAGAGTTTAGAAAAGAGTGCAGAGAAGAGCACTTGGGGTTGGAGGCTAAAACATATGAAGAATGGTTGCAGGAATTGGGTATGTCTACTCTAATGAAAAGAAGGACTGGGAATGACATTATAGCAGTGTTCCAATATATATAATGTTGGAAAATCATTAAAATTTGTAGTGGATCAAATTCCAAGCATTCATGAAAATTCATGAAAAGCACGGCAAGTCTTTTTGTATGTTATTCCACACTGCCCATTTGGAATGGACTAAATCTTGGACAGCACAAAGGACATGACCATGTTCTCCCAGCCATGCTTTACAACAGAATAGAATAGAATAGAATAGAATAGAATAGAATAGAATAGAATAGAATAGAATAGAATAGAATAGAATAGAATCTGGATGGGACCTTGGAGGTCTTCTAGTGCAGCCCCCTGCTCAAGCAGGAGAACCTATACCATCTCAGACAAGTGATTGTCTAGCCTCTTCTTAAAAATCTCCATGATGGAGTGCCCATGATTTCTGGAGGCAAGTGCGCACACTTGGATCTAGAACAAGAGAAGTTTGGATAATCAGGCTGCTCCCTCAAGGTAATGAGGTCCTGAATGAATGTCCCAAAATACAAGCTCACTTGGATCTCTTGCCATTCTTTCTGCAAAAAAGTTTAGATTGAAAGGGGGAAATGGTCACCAAAAAGGTGAGAAATCTAATTCTACCCCATCAGTTACCGGGATGCAAGCTAGTCAGTATGACAGCAATCCCTCAGTTAGTGCAGTTCTTAATTCTTGCCTATATTGTAGCTCCACTTGTTAATTATTTATTTGATTTATAAGACACTTCATTCCAGAGGATCTTGGCTTTTCATTAGAATAAAGTAATTTAGAGAATTCATAGCTGGTGTTAAGATGTGAATGGGAGATTTCATGAACTTTGCTACTATTCCACATCTTTAACTCTCACAATGGATCGATCATTTCACAGATTGACTTTTTGTAACATTTAATTTTGTCATCTGATTTCCACTAATGTGGCAGGTTCAACCAGTTGTCACATTCTATTACATTCAGTATTTAATTTTTAGAATGGCCCAAACCTACAATATTACAGCCATTCAACATTTTCTCTTTACTTAATGTATGAGTAAAGTTTATATAATTATTATTCCAAAAAAATGTAAACTGATTCAAAATGTTTCAAGAAACTGTTATTACCAAAGAGTGCTCTAATTTTTGCAAGCACTTTCCCCTCTCCACTCCACCCCAGTGACAAGTGTAGTTCCAGTTATAACACAAAAGTGAGTAGGGCCAATTCATACAGGTTAGTGCAGATCCTTGGGTATGAAAAGAGATCCATTCTTAATGGTCAGCACATACATGTCAAAATGCCACCCTTCAGAGCAACCAGCAATTTATTCTTCCAACAAGGTCCATGATGAGAATGACGCTTACCACTTGGGGCTGCTGGATGCTAATGGCAAGTAGCAAAGGTCTCACCTGGAATAATACAGGCTTACAGAAACACTGCAGCATAACCCAAGGAAGGCAAAGAAAAGACTAAGCCATCCCTTAATGAGTTGGTTTATTCCCTATTCTACATATACAGGCTCATAGGATTTCAACTTCAACCACTTTGAAATTATGTTATGACTGTAAAATAGAATTGTATAAACATACTAATGCCCATATGTTACATTTATTACATGAAAATCTATCACTCCAATTTGTGCACTGTATTTACCCCAAAAGAAAACAAATTTGAGTTCATGATGATTAGTTCTCCCAATCAAGAAAATATAAACATAGACAAAAATCTTTTGCAATACCCAACTTTTTTATTTTTTAGCTAAGGATTTTAACATTTGTTAATATCAATTCTGGAGATTTCCCCACTTCAATGACTGTGTGCACATTTATGTATATCTGTATACATTTGTCAGAAACTATTCTCCAAAAATGGGCATGACAAAAGAATGCATTGATAATATTTAGTATAGCGATAATGTAAGCTAATTGTACAATGAATTATTCCAACATCTGTTATACAAGTCACACAGAGAAGCATTTCCCTCCTAGAATGTATAGAGGAAAAAGAAAGAGCAGATATCCAGGGAAGGGATGGTAAGAAGTAAGAAAGAAAAAATGGTGATGAGGTAAGAAGTAAAGAAAACTGAATAAGATAGGAAAGAAAAGAGAAGGAATTTCTGTTTAGATGTCAAGAAAAAATTCTCCCAAGGAGAATCTGCACCTCTGCCTATTTATTTGTTTTCAATCAATGTTGCCTGTCTATTCCTCTGCCACAACCCTCCCACTCCTACACAATTCACTGATAATTGGGGAGGAGTACCATTTTCCTATTGATATATTTGAAAGTCTCCAGCATTGTCATTTTCACACAGTTTGAAAATTGTAATAATTACTATCTGGCCCAAGCTGTTAATGCTAATGCCCTTGCTGATAAACCAGTAATCTGTACATAACACAAAGAAGGGCATAATAGTATTAAAGGTCTTCAAGAAATGATAATTTTGTTAAGTTTTTAGACACATTGGGGTAGTAAAGAAAGTATTGATGAATAAGGTTCCAGAGGGATAGCAGAACCTGAATCTCCTTGGATCCTTGGCTCTCCAGTCTTTTTGTAATAACTATGGTGGCAGGTCAGAGATAGTTGCAAAGGAGAGTATGTTTTGATCATTCAGGTGAAATAAATATTACATTTCTCAATTAGTGACACACTCCATTATTCTGAAGTCAAAAGAATTAGTTTCGTGGTCTATGGAGTTCAGCTGATTCTGAACTCTGCAAGAAGACTTGGGCTTGCATATACATTTAGTCAATCCTCAGTTTGTAATTGTCTTTGTCGAATTCATGTTCCTTTCTCTTATTAGATAATTACCAGCAGTAATGGAAGATAGGGTTTGAAATCAGATGTAGCTCTTTATCAATAATAATAGTAAAATGTTAAATTATCCATGAAACTTAAATCCCCACAATATGAATATTCTGGAGTCTGAAAATTTTCCATTGCTTTGAAAATTGCACTGATTTAAACAGGACAATTCCTATACTGCTGGTTTTACTGTAAGTCCTGCCTCACTTTCCTGTAGTGCTTCCTCACAGAAGGGAAGTCAAATCCCATTATAGAAAATGGCAATGCTCTTTTTGATTTTAATGAAGTTCCATTTTATGCATAGGTATTTATAATTACCCTGATATTTCCATTTAAAAATAAATTTTAAGAAATTGAAAGTATCAAATTGTCTCCAGATGAGACTGACAGGCTCTCAGCTTGCTCAATCTTCACAAAAATCCATTTTTCCATTCCATAAATTAACTGCATTGAGCAATTCCTTAAATATGATTCACACAGAAAATAAAGTTATTTTTGTTGTACAGTATAATTCTATAATTCTAAACTCGATGCAATATTAGGCAAGTTTGTGTCTTAAATATATAAGCACACATAATTTACCCCCAAATTTATGTATTAAAAACTTAGTTACACATATTTTTTCTTCATGATAACTGTTTCACATATAACAGTTCAAAAGCTTCAGTTTGCAATCTCTATACCTGCATGAACAAGCAATGAGTGTTGTTTTGAACACATTTTTAGCAGTACCTATTTATTGTTTTTGTTGATTTGCCATTTCTTGTGAAACTGTTCACTTATACTTTGTTTTTCTTTTCCTTTGGCTTCAACAGTTATAATAAACCATGATACCAAAAGTATTGTAAAATGATGAGTATGGAAAAGTATATGCATTTGGGGAAGAATTTTTTACTTCATCAACATTGGCAGTTTCAATGCAAACATTAAAAATAGGGAAATATCTTGCAGATACAGTCCCAACCGAAAATGTTGTGGTTTTTTTTGAAATTCACATTAGATACATCTTAACATCAAAAGAAAACATTATTTTGTTTTCTTCCATGCAGTGCTTTCTTCTATAAATTGACTTGCAAAGGGAAAACAATTCTGAAACTACTCTTTCAAATATTCCTGTTTTTCCTGAACTTTCCAAATGAGAAATGAATTTTAGAAAATTCAAATATATGAAATATTCATGTGGTTTTTGTATGCTGTGTTCTCCTGATGAAAAAAGTAGACTTCCCATTTTTTCCTCCATATAACTTCTGCAATGAATCCAGCACTCTGTTTATTCATGACCTCAAATTCCTCAAGATGTAAAGTAGGAGCTTTGCATTGAGTACAGATTGTCAATGGGGTTGCCCACTCTTGATTGTAAGGGCCCAGGTTCTGTTGTTTCTAAGAAACAGTTGCTCTGGTTGCCGAAGGAGGTATCATCACTATCCATCTCACAGAAAATGGGCTCAGAGCCTTCATAATAGACAAAGAAAAATGGTTAGTTGTAGCATCATCCTTCAAAAGAGACAAGTCATATTTGGAGCCACAAAAATTACTCAAATGCAACTCTACTCTGATACGATTTCCATATATTTAAATAATAGATAGAAGAGTCATCAACCATTCTGAATATCATGGCCGCTAGATGTGAACTGCAAAATTCCAGCTGATCACTAAATGGTGGCAAAAACATATTTAAAACCCTAGTTTGCTGCTGATATATCTAGTGATCATCTGGAGTTTTGTAGTCTAGATCTGCTGGGGCTATAAGATATTACAGTGATGGCGAACCTATGGCACGCGTGCCAGAGACGGCACTCAAAGCCCTCTCTGTGGGCACGCGCGCCATGCCCTGGAGATGGCAATTGTCCCTCTTCAATCAGCCGCCTGCTAACTCGCTGAGCTCCCACGTGGCCAGATGCATCCCAGCATGGCTGGTTTCCCTCCCCCCCATCCCATCCCTCCTGGCCTCACATGCTCTCCTTTTCCTGGGCACGACCCACTGCATCGCCTCCTCAGCTGTCGTCCATCCGTCCAGCTCAGAGGCAGCTTCTCTGAACTGCTGGCAGCAGGCTGCAGAGCCCCAGTGCGTGGGTCGAGGGGCTAGCAGGCTGTGGCTGCTGACGGACACTGTTGGCCCCCATGCACTCACTGGCCTGTGCGTGGGGGCCGATGGTGTCAGGCAGCAACTGCCCTGGCCCCTGCCTCGCCTTGCCCTGTGACAATGGCACCCCCGCCTTGCCTCGCCTCACCGTGCAGGACGAACCTCCTGCCCACTGCCCCATCTGCCAGAGACCCCCTGGATCTCCCTGAACCCTGCCCAGCCCCCACAGGCGTCCCGCCCCATGAGCAACATCAAAGTGACCATGCCCACCTTGGCCACACCCACCCAGTCTGCCATGACCACCACAGCCACGCCTACCCAGTGAGCCACCCCCACCCGGTGATACATAAGTGGGGTTTGGGTGGGAGTTTGGGCACTTGGTCTCTAAAAGGTTCGCCATCACTGAGATATTAGATACTAGATAAGATACTAGAACTGGCCTAGATACATACTAGATACATACTGTCAGAATCCATTTATATTTCATCACTATCTATCTCCTCTGATCTAAAACTAAATCTCACCTTCCCCTGGATTCTGCCATACTCCCAAGGGGGAGGGGGGATATGCCTGCGGGGTTATGACTTTCACTTCCTCTATTCCCTACAATGTAACCTTTTGTTTATCGCTGCTGAGTCTGCTGGCCATTACAATGTAACAAATTGCCTCCTACACTATGCATCTCTCTGAAGTTTCTTCTGCCTAACCTGGCAGTTAGAAAAAAGGGGAGGAAAGAAATACAAACATCCGGAACCTGGCTTATTTCTCCGGTCTCAAAAGGAGGTGTGAAGAACTGTGGAACATCGTACTACAAACGGAGCCGGACCAATGTTATCTTCCCCTTACCACAATGGACTTAACACCTGGGGATTGGCCAGTCTGAACCGTCTGGATGAACTGTGGGGTGGGGTTTGCTTAGGGACCCTTTAAAGCAGACATGTCAAACACAAGGCCCGCGGGCCAGATGCGGCCCACCAAGGCCCCAAATTTGGCCCCTGGAGCTGTTCCAGAAATAGCAAGGGACCAGCCCCCGCTGCCCCAGCCCTGGCCCACCCCAACCCAGCTGGGTGCCTCCCGGCACACGCACAAAAAATGGTGAGCACTCGGAGGCTGGTGGCGCGCAGTAGCAGCTGCAGCTCATTTGCCTCACCCCGCCCCACCTGTCCTGGCCTAGCCCCACCCCTCCCGGCCTTGCCCGTCATGCCTGGCCATGCCCCGTTTTACTGGGTCTCTCCTTGTCCGACTCTGCTTTGCCAGGCCTCGTCTCACCACACCTGGCTCCACTTTGCTGGGCCAGGCACCAAAGTGCCGCTGAAAACAGCAGAGTCTGTGTGCGCACCTGCCTTGCCCAGGTCAGCCAAGCTCTCCACAGCATGCTACAGCTGATCCAAGGCATGGAAAACAAAGGCTGTCGGGTGAGCTTGTAGCAGGCGAACACACAGACTCTGCTCTTTTCGGCAGCCCTTCTTGCTGCTGGGGCTGCTGCTCACCTTCCTCTGCATTAGTGCTTCCATGCCCCGCTCACCAGCCTGTTCTCACATCCTGCAAGGCTTTTCTTTCACTGGGGTCGCCCCACCCCCGAATGGGAAAGCCATGGCTGGCGGCTTCCTTCCTGAGCATGGAGATGACAGAATGGGAGCTTTAGGCTTCTGCCTGCCAGTGTGCGATAGGAGATCGCAGGGGCTGTCGGGGGGGGGGGGACATGGCAGGTGAACAGCAGCAGCTTGCGGTTTCTGGCATGGGGTGGTTGGAAGCAAAACTGCCCTTTCGGCAGGCGTAGAGTCAATCCCGGCATGGAGGCAATGGAGGGGAGGGTGAACTAAAAGGGAAGGCACTGCTCCACATGTTTTTTTAAGCTGCCAGAGGCTCCAGACAGAGGTTTCCCATTTTGACCCCTTCCCCTATCATTTCCTCTTGCTCCATGGCTCTCAGCTCACCTCTCCCAGAACTTGCACATATGTTGGGGAGAGGGTCTCACCTCCTGCAGCCCCACGCTGTGACATTGGGAAGGAAAAGAACTGGAGAGGTAAGAGAAGCTGTGATGGGAGCTTCTTGCAGCCTTCCACAGGGCTGGGGGCGGGAGCTGAGGGGGGCAGGGCACGATGCAATTGACAACACATTGAGAAAAAGAAACAAGTGCTCCAAAAAACCAGATTTCATTAGTTTGCAGCCTGCCAGCTGGGCTGGGCTGGGCTGGGCTGGGCTGGGCTGGGCTGGGCTGGGCTGGGCTGGGCTGGGCTGGGCTGGGCTGTGAGATCCCTGTGCCCTGGGAGCTCGACCAGGCTGGATCCCCCCAGCCCCGCCCAGACCACACAGGTGCCCCCAACACAAGTGATGTTGAGCTGGCCATGCCCACCTCAACCACACCCACCCTGACCACACCCATCCGGCCCCCCAAGATCAACCACAACCCTGATGTGGCCCTCAGTGAAATTGAGTTTGACATTCCTGCTTTTAAGTATTGATCTGTAAAGAATCCCTCAGATCCTGTCTATTATGCCTGCTATCAACTACTCTTAATAAAATTTCCTGTTGGAAGAAATTGTTTCCAAGAGTTCTGCTTTCTTAAGATAGATTGAAGTGGGTCCTTACATTAGACAGGATCTGCAGTAATAGTCAACTGGAAGGAAGACCCTTACCGGGAGACTTTGCAAAAAATACAGTGTTGGACAACGAGGCAGTGAAGGGAGAAAACTCCATAGAAAGGGAGCCTTCCCCTGACCGGGATCCCGCCAGTTATCGGGATCCGAGACATCATACTCCTCAGGAGAAGAAGTGGTGGAAACGTGCAACCACAAACCTCGGTGGTCGATGGGCGTTGGCAAGAAAGATGAGTGGGAAAAGAGATCGAGAAAGGTGACCCTGAAACGGGGCAGCCACCAACCCAAATGGAAGCAAGAGACGGAGAAACCCCTGCACGTTAGCGAAGAGGAAGGAAGTTGTGCACAGCACTTGAACTGGATCCTAGAGAAAGCTATTGACCTGATGAAAAGAATCCTCGGCTCTCTAGGGGAGGAGAAACCTGAACCCCACAGCTGCACCAGCACCTGGAGCTGCAGCTGGATAGATACTGAGGGGGAATCGGAACCTGTAGTCCTGGGGACGTCTGTTGAAACAGCAACTACCACTTCGGCAGCCCCCACTCCCCGCCGACCCGCAGATGGCGATCAGGATGGGAGACAATACCGTCGGCGGTGAAGGGACCGATCCATCCAAAGATTCCTGCCGCTGGACGCGAAATTCAGGGGGGAGCCGCCACACTTGGGGTTCTTCCAAACCCAAGTCCTCAGCTATAGGGAAGAATATGGACAAGACATCCCCAGTGAGAAAGCCTGTATCCGTATCGTGCAATCCGCTCTGGACGGGGCGGCCGCAGACTGGATGATGAACCTGCATGATTTCAACACCCCAGAGCTCAAAGACTTCAACCGCTTCATGTCCTCTCTGAGAAGGCAATTCGATGACCCCCTGGCTGATTAAAAGGCCCACGAGAGAATCAAGATGGTGAGGCAGGGCAGACGCCCGGTAGTCGAATATACGCAAGAATTCCAGGCCATTGCCAACAAGCTGAACTGGCTGGAAGACATCCTCCTTAGCCATTTCAAAGACTGCTTAAACTACGACCTATATGATGCTTGCCTGCCTCGAGGGGACCCACGCCAACTCAATGAATGTTACGTCCTGGCAGAGGAAGCAGAGATCAACCTACTGAAGAGGCACCACTGAGAAAAACCATGGGGCCGCTCACCTCCTGAGCCGACGCACGAGCCAGTGAAACCACCGGCTATGGCCAAGAAGTCAACGGGCTGTTTCAAATGCAGGAGAGAGGGGCATTGTGCCCTAGAATGCCGCTCAAAAACCCCTCAGCAGAACACAGACTGATCACCGGCCAGGAAATCAGGGAAGTCCCAGCCAAGCCAAAAGAACCCGCCATGAGGGCGATAGAGGCTGTGGGGTCCCCAACCCCTGCCAAGCATGGGGAGGGAACTCCAGCCTACACAGCAGGGGAGGTGGACACCTCAGACGACAGCTCGGAGGGCAAACCCCATCGCACCCATCCTCAAGACAGTGACTATATTAGCTCCCTCCATGCCCAAAGCTGTCAAAATGAAAGCATTAATAGACTCTGGCTGCACCCGCTGCCTCATTAGCCTCATTAGCCCAATGCTAGTGGGGAACTTGGGCATTCCGGTGAGGAGGCTGAAACAACCAATCTCATTTGGCCAGTTAGATAGGTCCATAGCAGGGGGGGGGGGTGCCAGCTACCCTAGCCAATTTACCAGTCCACCTATCCCTGGGGAACCATAAGGAAGACATAATGTTTGTCATGACCCCAGGCACGGAATGCCCAGTGATCCTAGGGCTGGAATTGTTAAAGAAATGGTTTGTATATTTACAATAAAAAGAAAGATTTAAACTAGAGAAAAAGAGCTGTGGGTTTGGTTCTATTAAAAATTAATGGGAAACCCTGTTGTGTGGTAGTGATGAACATATTATTGCTAGGGTCTACAAAACATTATTGAGTTTGAATTTGGAAAATGAATATGTAAAGCATTATATGATTCAATGGGCAAGGAACTTTGGACATAATGTAATGCTTGAACAATGGAAGAATATGTGAACCAAAGGTTTAAAATTTACATTAAATTACAATTTAAAAGAACATTTTTATAAGATGATGTATTGTTGATATTTAACATCAGATAAGCTATCAAGAATGTATAAAGGTATTTCAAATGAAAGTTGGAAATGCAAATATAAAGAAGGGACTTTTTATCCTTTATGCCGGATATGTGATAAAGCAAAGAAACATTGGAGATTCTCAAAGTGAATATAAAGATAAAACCAGAAATTTTTCTCTTGGATTTCATGAAAAAAGACTTGGAAAATATTTTTGAAACTTTGATGTTATATATGTTGACAGCAGCAAGATTACTTTATGCACAAAAATGGAAGGATGTTCAATCCCCACAATAGATGGATGGTTACAAAAGTTGATGGAGTTAGCAGAGAGGCTAAATTGACTGCTTTGATAAAAGAAAAAAAACAAGTACTTTTGTTTCTACTTGGAAACCGTTTCTGGACTTTGTTCTTGAGGTGGAAAAAAAGGAAACTTTGATTTTGGGTTTTACTGATTAGATCAATCTGTTGTTACAGAAATGACTAGTTTATACTATTATGCAAAAATAAAAAGTTGAGGTTCAATGCTATTTCTTATTCTACTGCACCAAAGGGAGTTGGAAGTCAATGCCTTTTCTTTCTTTTCCCTTCTTCTCTACACGTTTCTCTTCCCTTTTTCCTCCTCTACTTTCCATATTATATGCTTTTGTATTTTTTTCAGTCCTTACCATAAGGGTGCATGTGGTCCCCTGGCATCTGTGGGGGAGTAAGTCCTTGCTGGAAGGAGTCTGAGTTATAGACACTATGATCAATAACCAATATTTGTTGTGAGGCTGGTTGCAATGTGGTGTATGAATTCATAACTCCTTCAAAATTAGTGCTGTTGCCATTGCTTGTCTGAGCTGGAAGACAAGGAAGAATGAAAGAATAATAATTTTTATCTCACCTTTAATTTTGATCAACATGAGGTGGTGTACATATCTAATATTCCCATTTTCTGTACTCTACACAACAGGGATTACTATAAGTACTGCCTTGAGCTCCTGAAGTAAAAACAAAACATATATCTACAAGTATAGCTATGTACTATAGGCCACTCATTCAAGAAAACATAGATAAACTCTTTGTTAAGAAATTCCAAAGGATTGGAAAGGAGCTGATGTGGTACCAATCTACAAAAAGAGGAAAAAATGGATCCGGAAAATTATAGGATAATCAGTGTGACATCTGAGAAAATCCTGGGGAAAACAATCAAATGGAGAATTAGTGAGCATCTAAAAGCAAACAAGGTGATTATGAAAAGCCAGCATGGGTTTGTTAAAAGCAGATCATACCAGACAAACCTTATTGCCTTTTTTGATAAAGTAACTAAATTAGTGGATCAGCAAAATGTTGTGGACATAGTATACTTGGACTGCAGCAAGGCATTTGACAAAGTAGACCACAACCTACTTCTTGGTAAGATACAACAATGTGGGATAGACAATACAACCACCAGAAGGATTCACAATTGGCTGATCAACTACACTCAGTGGGTAATCATCAATAGAACTAAATTTACATGGAGGGAAGCATGCAATAGGGTACCTCAAGGTTCAGTTTTAGGTCCAGTACACTTCAACATCTTCATAAATGATCTAGATGAGGGGATAGAAGGGGAACTTATCAAATTTGCATATGACACCAAGCTTGGGAGAATTGCTAACACTTTGGAAGTTAGGCTCAAGATCCAGAAGGACCTTGACAGACTTGAACACTGGGCCCTAAGTAACAAGATGCAGCTCAGTGGTGGGAAAAGTAAGGTCCTGCATTGAGGCAGGAAAAAACAAATGCATGGATACAGAATCAGTGGTACTTGGCTCAACAGTAGTAAATGTGAAAGAGATCTAAGTGTCCTACTGGACCACCACTTAAGTATGAGCCAGCAATGTGCTGCACCTGCCAAAAAAGTCAATGCAGTCCTAGGCTGCCATCAACTTAACTGTGATTTCTGTATTCTACATACTCGTCTATGACCAAATAAAGATTTGATGGTGATGATGATGATGATGATGATGATGATGATGATGATGATGATGATGATGATGATGATGATGACGACGACAACAAGAAGTGATAGTACTGCTTTACACTACACTATTGAGACAACACTTGGAATACTTCATCCAGTTCTGGTCACCATGATCCAAAAAAGATGTTGAGATCCTGGAAAATGTGCAGAGAAGAGCAACAACAATGACAAAGGGTCTGAAGGCTAAATGGTTGAGGGAGCTGGGTATGTCTAGTCTATCGAAGAGGATAACTGTACTTGATGGGCTGTCACAAAGAAGAGGGGATTGACATATTTCTCTAAGGCACCAGAGAGCAGGACAAGAAGTAATGGGTAGAAGCTTGATAAAGAAATCCAACCTAGAAGTAAGGAGAAATTGTCTCACGGAGGTTTCAAAAATAGACTGGAAAAACGTTTGACTGGGATGGTATAAGGCTCCTGCCTTGAGCAGGGGTTGGCTAGAAGGCCTCCACTCTCCCTTCCAGCCCTATGCTTCTATGAATGATAAAACACTCATTATGACTTACGACTGGTCCTCATGCTTACTATCATCACAGCATCCCCACAGCATCAAAATTTGGGCACCTGGCAATCGGCATGCATTTATGACAATTGCAGTATCCCAGGGTCATGTCATCACCATCTAGGACCTTCCCAGCTGGCTTATGAGAAGCAAAGTCAATGGAGGAAGCCAGATTTGCTTAATGACTATGTGATTCATTTAACAACTGCAATGACTTACTTAACAAACATAGCAAAAAAAGGTCATAAAATTGGGCATCATTCACTTAACACCTATTTTCCTTAGCAACAAAAAATGTGATTGTAAATCAAATACATGAATAAATATTTTGCCAAGCAAGGAGAGCAAATTGCATATGTATCTATGTGTATATGAAAGAGAAAACGAGTATGGAGGTGTGTATATTTCTAGGCATGTATTTTCAGGTTTACATATCCACAATAGCCAAATCTTTTCCCTTCAGGCTACAGTTGTCCTACCTGTTTTTTTGTGGCTCCAGTACAGTTGCCTGGCTTTGGCTGAAATAGGTTAATCAAGCACTGAAATATATACAAAATCTGAATTTGTAAGAAGAAACAGTTGGAATATATTTTCCTTTCTTGATTAATAACCACTGTACTTTCACTGTAAAGAATTTACATCTTACTTTCAGAATGGCAGCAGGTGGTACATTTTCAAGAGAGAGAGTTTCCATGTAAAAAGAAAATTAGAGACCAAATCTTACCTGCAGTGAATCTTTGTGTGTTTTGCTGATCTTGCTGTTGCTGTTGTTGTCGCCTTGCTAATTTCTTCATCTGTGAGTAAAGTAGGAAGAAAATTCAGAACAACATAATAACTCTCCTTGGTTATCTTGAATAGTAGAATAACCTCAGAAAAAAAATGATGGATGAGTAAACAACTTAAATGATTCCTACTGATGCTACTATGGTACTCTGATACCTTTCATCTGTTGAATTCTGTGAAGGATATACTGGGAGAAGCTCACAAGCTTCCTACACCTATAAAATGATGAGAAATTCCTGCTTCATGTTTATTCAATCACCTTTACCTTTCTACATAGAGATAGCCCTCACGTATTGACCATTTGTTCAGCAACTATTCAAAGTTATGACAGCACTGAATGAAGGATACTTACAACAAGTTCTCAAAGTTCCAACTGCGGCAGTGCCCCACAATCATGTGACCATAATTTGTATTCGTGACCTTCTATGCCAGTTTCCCATAAGCAAAGTCAATTGGGAAGCCAGCAGGGAAAATCACAAATTGCTCTGTAAGTCCTACGTCCTATCTTCCAGTGCACCACATCACACATTATTTCTCTGGGCTTCCCTGCACTCACATATATCAACCTGCAACAATCCCCTCCCTCAACTCACATGTGGCCTCTGCTGGGCCTCCTAGGGCTCCCCTCCATCCCCCCACCCCTGTGGCACCCCTGTGCTCCTTACTTGAACTCCTGGGACTTCCCACTTATGGTTACAATGGCAACTGAGGCTACTGAATTGACCTTTCTAAATGATTACAGTCACATGACACTACAATTTATGACTGCATCCCAATTGTCGCTGTAATTTGAGTACTACCTGTACTCATAGCTCTGCTCTTGCCTACAGCTGCTGTTTATTTTTTGTACTCATTCAGCTCCCCTCTCTTTATATTAATATAGTACAAAAGAAATAATTTCAGTCTGACTGAATAAACTCTTATGTAGCTTTGTCCAAAAAGCTAATGGAAATATAAATTCCCCATGACACCCCTTCTATGTATGCTCCTTGTACTATCTTAGATAATTTCCTGTACTAAAGAATATAGGAAACAAACATTTACACACCCAGTTTATTTTCTGTAGGAATATCAGTCTTATAAATTTTCAAAATTTAACTTAAAAATCCCACTGAAAGTTTTAAATTTTTATATACCAGGTTCATAAGCTACTTTTATGTACAAATGCACTATTTTCAAGTTTTTAGCTGGAGCCTCCTCTGTGTTATACATTACCCTCACCCTCAAATCTCTTAAAAAGAGTGCCAGTTTGGTCTAATGGTGAAGGCACCAGGTCAGAAACTGGAAGACCGTCACTTCTTGTCATATTTTAGTCATGGAAACCAGCTGGTGACTTTAGCCCAGCCACTTTCTCCAAGCCCAACTCACCTTACAAGGTGATGTTGTGGAGAAAATAGGAGGAAGGAGTATTAGGTATGTTCACTGCCTTGAGTTATTTACAAAAATAATAAAGGCAGGATTTTAATAATATAAAGAATATTTTTCATTCATCAAAACTTCCTAGCTCCTGCCCTACTTCTTTTTAAACTCTAGAGGTTTCATAGCTATGGACACATCTGGGATGTAAACAATTTTCATATAAATTGCTGAAGAAATTTTGACAAGGGGAATGGTGAAAAGATTTATTTCTTCCTTGTATAAAGTTGAAGATGCCTTTTTCATAAAATCCTTCTGAAAAAAATCCTATTTCTTAGTTGCAATTTCCATATGTTGAATGTTGTCTGATTACTTTTGCCACCAAAAACTGGAAATCTAGAAGGGGGGAATTTCCTCAAATAGGAAACACTTCTCTGGCATAAAGCAAACCAACCAAGAACTTATTAATATGAAAACTTTGAACATATTGACATAAAATTAGGAAAGAATTCGTATGTCATCAAATTCTTCCAAGAAATAAATATTTCCTTAGGTAGGGAAAGCATTGCAAAAGTTGCACTGACTAGAAAGATTTTATTTTAAAACAATCCTTAAAATTATAGCACCAGATATTCTTTTTTAGCAGTATTTACTAATACTCTTTTTAGAGCTAGAAAAACATTTCATTAAAATTTGACAAAAAGAAGATAGACAAAAAGAAGATAGAAGAAATGAGCTTACATAAAGGCGTTAGTAACTTTATGCCATTGTTTTGAGAATGTTGGAAGTTAATGTTTTTCTTGTGCACATTAAATATTCTGCATGTTATGGTAGTTGAATTGTCAGTCTGTGCAATATATATTGGAACTCTAGTCCATTAACTCCTATTTCTGGCATTACTGGGGAAAGGGTATACACGGCTGATGTAGATAGGTACTCCTCTCCTAGCAAATATCATATTTAATTATTAATGTAATTATTACGGTACCTTAGCTCTTTGATTCTGGAACCAGACCTGTACAACTCGAACACTAAGACCTGTCTCAGCTGCTAATGTTTCTCTTACCTTTAGGAAATGCAGAACATGTAAATTATATTCAGTATCACACAGACAAATGATCAGCAAAATGTAAAATGTTTACACAACATTTTCAGCTTTCAACATGTCCCAGTATTTCAAATTTCCAAATATATTGCAAGGTCTCTCAAAATATGAATGACAAGAATGTTTTATAAACCTGTGCTCACTTTACGTTTCAAAAATAAATTTAAAAACTCCATAATGCAGCAGTTCTGTTTAATTGATAACCAATTACTTCAGATCTCTAGCTATCTAGGTGATTTTTAGGGGTTCTGAAAAATATATATTACTGCCGCAAAGTAACTGCTATCTAGAAAAACAAACTATGACCGATGGATCCCATTCTGATTAGTGGATCAGCATTTGCCCTAAACAAAATATTTTTTCTTGATTTTTTTTTCTAGAGAGGGATGGGAGAATGGGGCTGAATCTTAGTGTTTGCATAAGAGTACTTAGATTTGTTTTTTTAAAAAAATCTGTTTTTGAAGTTTTTAATGGTTCTTAGGCCTTATTTGTTCTGGAATTGGATTTTCTTCAAGTCAACATTGAAAGTTTTGAAATAGACAGAGTGAGTGAGTCAATAGCCTTCTGATGGTGAAGAGACTGGCCCTTGAACTGGTATTTTGGATGTGCTCAGCATGTTCCCACCAGGGAAGATGAGGCCCAGTTCATTCTGGTGCTGGAAACTTACTCAAAATCCTGCTACAGTTGACTAGGATGAGTCATGCTGGAAGGGAAGCTGGTCCCTGCAACAGATGGGTAAGCAGAAACTCTTTATGATGTTGTGGTGAAGAGACAGGGTAGTGGGTTCTGAATTGGTTGGGGATAAAATATCAGACTTGTCTGAACATTGCAGCTACCTGACCATTAAACACACCTAATGGCTTCCGCCCACAGATTCCACTCTGGATAACATTTTCCATTTGACTGCTCGCAGAGCATCCCTGCTGGACTGCTCATGTGATTCATGCCTGAAAGATTAATATCTTTGACTAGTTTGGTATTGCAGACTAGAATATATGATTTAGTATTATTCCAGCAAGTAATACTGATGGAATTAAGGACTAGAAAAGATGTTAAAGATTTGTAGGATAATATATGGGCATCTTTTCTAAGAATCTGACTTTCCTGTCTCTGCTGAATGCAGAAGCAGTGTGGGAGCCTACTGTGAGTGATGGTGGGATCAACTGTGAGTTGTTGAGGGTCTTTCAGTTGCATGATTCGCAGAAATTGGGGCAGAAAGGATGGGAGGTGACAGAGGGAATAGGGCAGGCAGTTCCATCTGAGTGGTGATCAGCAGAGAAAGATATGAGAGGGAGCTGGGAGTAGACTATACACGGGCAAGACAGAGTCAATATTTAATATTCATTTCACCTTCCAGTTCCTAAAAGTGCTTTTTCAAAAAGACAACTGGACTGTTTTTTCCTTGAGGAAGAAGAAGATGCTTTGCTCTTCTTCTTCAAAGCTTTATCAGTTATGATGGTAGGAGATGGAAGAAAAGGTTCTGACAGGATGGTGCAGGGGAGATGGAAGGATTGTATTTCTTTGCAGTCATCTGGTTGTTAGCACTCTCTCTGAGAGCCATTGAGGCCACTTGAGGGTTTATCTGCACCCTCAGGATCACCTGAATCAGAGTGATTTGATGAAGGCCCAGTTAGAAATGTCTGCTACAAGACAGCACATTAGGCAACAGAACTAACCTCAGCCCAGATCGCATATGTGCCATATTGGACCTCTGCCTGACTACTACCTATTTTAAATACAATGAAGGTTTCTACAGACAAAAACACAGCTGTGCCATGGGTTCACCTGTGCTTCCCATTGTGGCCAATCTCTACATGGAAGAGATACAAACCAAAGTCCTAAAATCCTTCACAGGATTTCCACTCACTCACTGGTATAGATATAGGGATGATATTTGGGTCAAGATTAAACACAGGAAGTGGAAGCCTTCACTAAAAACACATCAACTCTGTGGATAGATATATTAAGTTCACATGAGAAAATGTTAAAGAAAACAGCCTGGCTTTCCTGGACTGTTCAGTGCACATTAAAGAAGACAGAAGCCTTAACTTTGAAATTTACAGAAAACCCACACACATATCAGTATTTACATTTTGATTCTCACCATCCACAGTAGGACAAAATGGGACTGATCAGAACCCTACACCATCAGGCTGAAAGTTTACTCACCAGTAAAGGGGGAAAAGAAAAAGAACTGAAACACATCAAGGAATCCCTCAGTTATCCTCAGTTATATGTGGTTATCCTAAATGGGCCTTCATCAAATCTAAAAAAAAAAAAAAAAGGCCCAGCAGGAGCTCCTTCATTACAGACAAAGAAGAGAACAACAAATGAAGCAACATTGTCATTCCACACATTGTAGGAATATCTGAAAACCTTAGGAGGATTTTCAACCAACACAACATAATTGTACACTTTAAACCCAAGAACACATCAAGGCAGAAACTTGTCTACCCCAAGGATAAAACATCCAGACACAAACTGAGTAATGGGATATATGCAGTACAACGCAGTGAGACATATGCAGATCTGTTCATTATTAAAACAAAACCACCATTTCACAAGTGCATGGCACAACATAGGACATCAAACCCATCAATACATGATTAAACGGTCCATCTGCATTTGAAAGACAAAGGTCACTCTTTTGAAGATAGCAAAGTCCACATTTTGGATAGAGAAGACCATTGCTTTGAAAGAGGGGTAAAAAGAGTCCATCTATATTAAAATTGAACAGCCCTCTTTCAACAGAGAGATAGGAATATGACACCGCTTATTTCTAGGCTACAACGAAGTCCTTTCAGCAGTTCAAAAAAGATTCCACAATCATTTGCACTCTGATTCAGGTGACTCTGACGGCACAGATAAACCTTCAAGTGGCCTCAACAGCTCCCAGAGAGAGTGCAACCAACCAGATGACTGCAAAGAAATACAATCCTTCCATCCCCCACCACCATCCTGTCAGAACCTATCCTTCCATCTCCCTACCATTATAACTGATGAAGTTTCTTGGATGAAAAGTGAAATATCTTCTTCTTCCCCCTCAAGGAAAAAAAAGAGTCCAGTTGCCTTTTTGAAAAAGCACCTTTGAGATAACTATGATTTGGATGACTGAGAATCTCCATAGACATTTTCTCCCAGTTCCTAGTATCATCCTGTTGCCAGGTCATTAGATCCACAGTGGTCCTGTCTGGTGCTGTTAAATTCCAGGTTGTTGTTTAATAAGGCTCCTCTCATCCACTACCGTACAATGGATAAGGCAATTTACTGCCATATATGACTGAGATCTGAGTGGCTTGTATGGATGTGATTAGAGAAGGTGTCCCCTTTCTGAAATTTGCCCACTGAATTTAGACTTTAGCAAGCTACAAACCAAGAGAGTGGGGTAAGGTGGCAGCTGCTTGTGGCTTTTAGAAGCTCTGTACTATAGATAACCAGATGGGACATTCTAGTTGAAGATGGACTCTAGGGGCAGATGGGTTTGCTGCTACTGAACTGGTCTCTCTGCTGCACATCAATTTTCCTGCCTAAGTCACATGATTGTTGCTGAATTGGCAGTGGAGTCTCAAAGACTGATGTTTTTGGAAACTACACCCACACGTAGTGTAGAGTCTGGTGTGATTCATTTATTGGCCTGACCCAAATTATTCAGAACTCAGTGAACACAAATAGTCATATGCTTGATCTGTTTGGTTTTTGTTGTTGTTGTTTTGTCTCAGGATAATTGCAATATGTTCTAAAGTAAAGGTCAATTGTTATGGTCAGGTTGCTCTCCAATTGCTTTTCAGCTTATGGACAGCCACTCCTTCAGCGGGGAAAGTGAAGCTATTTGATTGGTCTGCCCTAGACCAATGGATTGGATAGGTTTCAGAAGGAGTTTGGAGGTTCTCTTCTGAATCTGGTGAGCAGCATTGATGTATGATAAGGACCTTGGACTTAATTGCTCCTGCACAGCTCTTAACTTTTCTGAGGAGCTTTGAGAGATGAAATGACAGAAGAGAGACCTAGTTCACTGTTGGAGGAAGATGAATTAATCTGACTGAGTTAGGAACTCATATTAGAGATTACATCATGGCAGTAATAGTGGCAAAACTTAATTACTTTTCCACTCAGATCATGTCTACAGAGGGCAGCTATTTAGTATATTCTAGGCATTTGCTCATAAAGTTGCTCAGACTCTGACTGAGATGGCTCATACTCTGTTAAATGTTAAGACCCAGTCTTTCTTGGTTTACCTTGAAAATATCACTCCTGGCTGAAGGATCCAACCTCCCTTACACTACTTGGAGGACCCTGAATAGGTTGAGAGTTGGAGTGCCTATCTGCTGAAGTGGAGGCTCTTAGCAGATAACAACATGTTGTGTGAATGTGGAGAGATGCAGACCCCGGCCCATCTGCTGGTATGTTGGCTACTGCCAGAAACATGTATCAATAATGACTTATTTTTGGTCAGTGACAAAGCCAAGAAGATGGCTTCATTCTGGCAATTTAAAGTTTGATCTAGACACAGAAGAAGAAGAGATTCCTGAGGAGGTAGAGAGATTCTTTGAGACTGTCAGTAAGGCCATTTATTAGATCCATGCCCATCCTGCTTAGTTAAGGCCTCCCAAGAGGTGATTTATGATGGATCCATCATTCTTGAGAGACAGGTGGTTTAATCTCCTTGAAGACAGCGGTGCATCCCCTTCACAAAAAGCCATCATTAGATCTATTTTAATCCAGTCTCCAATCTTTCTAGGTAATGTTGAGGAAAAAGCAGATAGAGTTCCAGATGATTGTTAAAGAATTAGTTATTCTATTTATCTAAATAGAAAATCTAAACCAATTTCAGTTGGGTTTCAGATTACGGTAGTATGGAAGAGCACTTACTGCATTTTTAATGGGTTGTTATGGAGACAGGACAGAAGCAGTGTATTAGATTTAATTGCATGTTGCTCAGAGTATGTGCTGAATGGGGTGACCCTTATAAATTAAATTAGAAATATAAATAAATATTGTCTTTGGTCCACAATATGCATGAGTTATGGAAACATGAATCTCTGTAAATATCTTGGATACAAAGACCTTAGTTACTAAAAACTGCCAACCATAATTGTTCCTACATATAAGATTCCAATCTCTTCTAATTATTAAAATGTACCTTCCTACATGGCTTAGAAGATACTTCAAATGATGCTTTAAATGCTCGGCGTTGCTGTGTGGTTAGGATTGTCCGGGGCCGCTTGGGCCGTTTATGATCCCTGATCTCCTCAGATACTTTCCCAGTCTCTTCCATTTTGCAGAAGCTTGCTTCATCATCACTTTTACCTTATAATATGAAAACATCCCATTGCAGTAAAATTCACAAATTGTTATAATTAAAATCTTTAGCTTGAAAATGTTGCACATAAACTTTAATAAATGAACACAGATGTAATTTGGGAAGCTCCTTCCAATAAAGTGTTGTGCAGTACTATGTGTACATGTTGGCATGCACCTGCCTCACAGGATTGCTGTTGTGAGGAAAACAGGAGGAGGAAAGAATATTAGGTATATTTACTGTCTTATAAATCACTTTGTATTATGACTGATGTCTAAATTCAGAGAATGTAGTTTTAAACAAATACATGACACATTCAAATTTTAATTCCAACTTGCAATCTAAATTGGATACCTTGCAGTGTACCATGTTAATACCACTTTATGTCTATGTAGTCAAAGTCTGCATAGAATCAAAAATACCATTGTAAAAATGACAGAATATATGAAACATTGGCATAATGATATTGTTCTAATTTAAAAAAGTTTTTCCCTGAATTAAAAGAAGCTTCTCAGATATTTTGCATGTCTGTTTGTTATTTGCCAGAATGTGTTTTCAGACATTCAATTTATTTTGAATGCAAAAACAGAACAACATGAGGCAACTGAAGTAAAAGGAATTAGTGGTTTTTCTCTTCCAGTTCTTGATCTTGAAGAATTACATGGCAGCCCTCCCAAGAACAGCTGGATATATTGCATTTGGTAAATGAAGGTAAATGAGAATTTAAAATTAAGTTGCATGTTATGTTAAACACACACAGGGTGCAGTGGCTCTTCTAATCTGAATTTAGAAATATACAAGCATGTGGAAACTTTAAAAGAAAAGGATTTGCACTGAAATCCCTTTTTAAAAAACCCAATGCAAGGCAGGGAGAATTTTCTGAAGCAAGTGGCTGTAGGTAGGAAGTTCATCCTGACCTATTTGCATACAGTTATCTCATTTAGGGTCATTTAGTTTTTTAAACTCTTGCAACTATTTACAGTTTTGTAAATGTGTTTTGAGGGCTTATCCTGGATGTGTAGCTGTTTTATTACAATTACAATTGGTATCAGATTTTAAAGTAGAACAAATAAACACTTATCCTCAGTATTCTAAAAAATGGGACTTTATTCCTGCCCTATTTCTTTTGTCCAAACTTGTTACCCCGCAGCTGTGTTGATTTGGAATTCCACCACTCCCAACAAGCCTGGGGGATTGTTGAGAGCTGGAAAATGGAAGACTGAGGAAGACCAACTCAGAGAATTAGAGTGATAAAATATTTCCCTCCTCTAACTGCATTTGAAGCATGAAACATAAAAAGCTTTAAAATGACTGTGGAAAAATAGTGCAGAGAAGGCTGAGGAAATCCTGTCCAAAGAAAGAAAAGTAGCTTCAACACCCCTGAACACCTGCTCATCAAATCCCCCCAAATAGTGAAAAGTTGATTCTGCTTTAACATGGCAATGCCTTTAATTAACTCTGTCTTTCAAGCCCTCCACAGACAGGGTAGGAATTAATTAATCTTTAAAACTCCTCATGTCACATGGGAAAGGATGACAGGCAGTGTATATTGTCTGCACTGACCTCTGGGCAACCTCAAGACACAACAGGAGAAAGCAATGAAATACTGGATTCATGAAAAAGATGAAAAAAAATCTTTAGTTTGAGGGAATTAGGGGAAGGAGAGATGTTAGTACCTTTTTAATTGGAAAGAAGGCGCTTCTTTCACAGGCCTCTGTTTACTTAGGCTTGGCCACTGGGGGTCAGAGGAGAGAATCATTGAACGAGGGGCTTTACAGATTATGGACAACATATGGTTTCCAGTATTTTGTGCTTTATCTTCATTTTCTCACAAAGATGGTCCTGAGTTTTCATGCTGCTACTTGATCCCCTGGATTTCTAAATGGGATTGTAAAGAAAGATGCTGACCAAGCAGGAATTTGCTGTCATATCATAGCCTGTTGAAGCTGATTAAACGTCCTGGAGAAGGTCTGTTCTTGCTTGCAGACATGTGCATTCCTACTTTGTTTTGAGTTACAGACTACTTCTGCTGCTAAGCTAAATGTGTTTGCAACAGAGTGTGCAACAAATTAGGACAAACCTTGGAGATGCTTGGCCTCACACAGGAATCTGGAAAACTCCAAGAGGCTTTCCATTTAGAACCTTAGTTCTTTAGGATTTGTTAAATTATAAGCAAATAATTCCAAAATCAAGTGGGGTATTTTTAAGTAAAGAATACTAAATTGGCAATGATGACATACATTGGAACAAAAGATATTGTACAAATTCAAATCAAAATTCTATCCAGTGGACTGATCTTCACAGTGATGAGGGAATTCCTAGTGAACCTGGGAACAATAGAGATCAATGGTTGTTTATATTATAGTAACAATATTGTTTCTGAACACAAGCACAAAGATGAGAGACCCCCTGATCAATTATTGTCAAAACCTTTTTTTTATTTGCATTGATACAGCCAAAGTAGCATAATCAAATCTGGACAGATTTTATATAAAATGGCAAAATAATGGATAAGACAGTGGTTTCATTAAGAAAATCCTTTACCTAATATAAACAGGAATATTAATGCTGGCCCTAAAGACCAATGCAGTGGTAAGATGTTAGAGTGAAAAAGTAGGATGCAATAGTATTCTCCTATTCAGTGATGTCAAGAGATGGCTTGGTACAATTGTATACAAGCTTTTAAAGTAATTTTTGCGAACTAGGTTACTAGCAACTGAAAGAGCCTCAGCTGGCACTAGGAAAAAGTCATTGTATTTTTTCATTGAATATTTATTATTTTTAATCTATCATATTACTTTATTTTTATAGCCAGAAAACTACATTTTTTTCCAGAAGATGGCAGCATTTTGCTGATTCTGTTTTACATGGGGCTATTATTTTCAAAAATGTATTCCTGTTAAAACTGGCATTTCCAAAGTAAGCAATACAACACAACTCATCTAAAAACAGGAATCCATAGTTACTCTTTTGTTAAAATGATTCCAGCTTTGCTGAAAAGTTTCTATTGGTTACAAGATCCAGTGTTTACTTTGCAGCTCTTAAAAAAAGAACATGGATCTTCTTATCTCTTCCTGGTCTCCCCGTCACCTCTTAAGATCCTGAACCAGAGCCAGAATTCTAACATAGGGGTGAGGTAGGAAACTGAAAAGCATCACAGGCAATAATAGGAGATGGAGATGATGGGCCTGGCCAGCCTCTGGCATCAAGTCCAATAGTTAATAATACCTGAACAGGAAAGTAACTCTAAATCAGATTCTTCTTTCACGGGATTGAAATATTTTACACAAACATCTCAAGCATTTCCAAAGTTACTTGCAAATCTGTCAATATGGAATTAACAGTGAGGTAATGGGGTGATACTTCCAGACTCAGACGTCTTTTCCTTCCTTCCTTCCTTCTTTGCTCCATAGAAAAGAATAAGTTACCCAGTGGAAAAAGGGCACAATGATTTAGATAAGTACTCATCAGCAAAGTACTAGATTAGTCCAAGAATCTAAAGAACAATTTGTACAATAAGACTGAACTTCCTTTTCCCTTTGGCTCAGTGTTTTTTGCTCTTGAGGTTTGTGTGTATATATAAGATTTATGTCCTAGAGACAAGCAAAGTTATAATAAGAAGCCATCACAAGACTATAAACACCTACTAAGCTTGGACTTTTAATCTCAAGAGCTAGTGGGAGAGAAAGAAAAATTTGACTTTTGACTTTTGATTAGTCTGATTGGGAGAGACTTTTAAGCTATTTTCAGGGAGATTGAACACTTTGAGCATTGTAGATTATAACCTTGCCTGACTGAGTCGCCAAACAACGCAGTCCGCCATTTTCCCCCCCTTTTCCTTAGCTGTGCTACTCCCTCTTATTCTATTGGCTTTTGAAAGCCAATAGAATAGACTCTATTCAAGAGACTCTATTCTATTGGCGTTCAAAAGCCAATAGAATCTATTGGCTTTCGAAAGCCAATAGAATAGACTCTCTTGAATAGAGTCTAATTCTATTGGCTTTCAAAAGCCAATAGGAATTGTCCAGGCTGTCTCTGCCCTGCTGAGCCCGCCAAAAATCCCAGTCTGTAAACGGTGCTGCAAGTTGTCTGCAGCTAAGGCGAGCTTTCTGGACGTTTCCACCCCTCCCTGCTGAGCAACTACTAAATGTAAGTAAAAGAGGGCCAGGGGTGGGAGGTGGGAGGCCGGCGGGCGCAGGGAGGGTTGCTGGCACGCGTGGGGCCCAGCGAGTGCCTTACCTCCCTTGGGCTGGGCCAGCTGGTGGCCCAGCCGGTGGTCACCCTGCGCCCTCGCTGCCGCATGCCATGGCTGCCCAGGAGCGCCTGGGTCTGCCTGCCGCTGCACCGAACGTGCGGTGGCCAAGGTAAGGCTAGCGGAGCAGCGGCGGGCGCAGGGAGGGTTGCTGGCGCGTGTGGGGCCCGGCGGGTGCCTTACCTCCCTTGGGCTGGGCCAGTTGGTGGCCCAGCTGGTGGTCGGCCTGCGCCCTCGCTGCCGTGGGCTATGGCCGCCCAGGAGCGCCTGGGCCTGCCTGCCTGCCGCCACACCAAATGTGCGGTGGCCAAGGTAAGGCTAGCGGAGCAGCGGCAGGCGCAGGGAGGGTTGCTGGCGTGCGTGGGGCCCGGCGGGTGCCCTACCTCCCTTGGGCTGGGCCAGCTGGTGGCCCAGCCGGTGGTCGGCCTGCACCATCGCTGCCACTTGCCAGCTATGCCTCGGCCGGCGCATGGGGCAGCACCACACATGCGCGGCGCTCCCGGGCCAAGGCGGTTGCTGGGCAATGGCCTGAGTCCATCCTCGGCCTGCCCAGCGTGCGCTCCAGCCGCAGGAGAGGAGGCGGACTGTGTGCGCCTCCTCCTGCCCCGCCCGCAAGGCAGCGTGGGCGCAGGGAGGGTTGCTGGCACGCGTGGGGCCTGGAGGGTGCCCTACCTCCCTTGGGCTGGGCCAGCTGGTGGGCCAGCCGGTGGTCGGCCTGCGCCATCGCTGCCGCTTGCCAGCTACGCCTCGGCTGGC